ATCTTGATTTGAGATGTCGGAAACCTTCGGCTGAACTAAAATTTCAGAACAAAATTGATATCTTTAGTTTATGAGGCGTTGAGTTTTTTACCGTCTCGACTAAAGCCAAATTTCTCAAGAAATTCCCAGCAGGAACCCTAAAACAAAATGGAATTATATGTACAGAAGGTGCATGAGAATGAAACGTAAAACATATGGTTACTGGTGTATCGAGTACGTTTAAATGGACTTTTTTTAATTTGAGAATGTGGCAAGCAGGCTGGAGGTTCACCTGATGTTAAATGATAATCGCCACCCATGGACATTCGCAACACCCGTAGGTTTGCAGATGTGGTGCCACCTTTCAAAAAGTGGGCCCGGCTACCTCACTCATCAGGCGAAACGCATAAGTGTAACACTTACACTTCACACCGGTTTTCCGTGATTTCGTGGTAACTCCCCTGGACGGACATGTCCATTCGTGCACCGGTGAATACTGTTGCGTGGATCTACCACAGTTAAAGTATAAAATAACATCCCACCAATCAGTTTAGACGCACCTAGGCAACCAACTAACAGACTGTGTAAAAACATCACACCCAGCAGCTAATGTGTATCCTTCAGCGTTGACACGCTATCGAATTTACAATTTTTAGCGATCATTTTATACCTTATTGCAACCCCAGAGCAGAGCACCGCGGAACGCGAGTGAATCCAGTGTTCGATTAAAATACAGTGAGGTTTTTTGAGAAGTGCCCAAATTTACACAGCAGGTTCAGACTCGTATAATCGTTTATTGAAATAAAAAACAAAGTTTTTTTTTCCAAATAAAATGCCATTCTATTCCATAAAACAGAACGTGTTGATAATGCGGTAGTCATTCATAAATATCTAAATTTTACTATGCACGAACTTGTGTGCGTGTTAGTTATGAATGATCGCGCGTTGAATAAACGAGTTGCGTATAAATCACACACTTTTTGAGATAAGTTCAAATGAATGTAATTAATTACTTACGAGTGATTTTAAATATTTATAATTCTTATATAAAATTATTTATGTCTAGAATTTAATTTAAAAAAATGGATACACTTAGAAATGCCAACCTGTATAGTATACTAGCCACCCAACCCGGCTTCGCACGGGTGCAATGTATTATACATATAAATAAACCTTCCTCTTGAATCACACTATCTAGTAAAAAAAAAAAGAACTAAGCATACATATCGACAGACAGATATGGGGACGACTTTTTTTTCTTTTTTTTTTAATTCGAAACTGGCCAGCACTTGACTGCCATCCTTTGTTTTGTAATGAAGACTATGTAGTGAAGACCAGTGGGGCGTAAGGCCGGCGATAAAGAGGCGCTGTATAAGCGATAACCGCTTGTTACTGTTCGCATCTTCCTGTGCCTCGTCTACTCCAGCTGTCACATAACTGCGTGGTCTCTGACCCCGTCTATACATTGCTGTTTTGTTAGTAAATATGGTCGCAGTAGGTGCATTGCGTGCCGGTGATCACTATTACGGATATCACAGTGTATGTGAACATTACATGTTTAAGAGTCAGCTCAGGTAATTTGCATTGTCTGCCAGTAACAATTACAGTTTTATTATATCAGATAGTTTTAGCAGTAATGGAACGTTAACGTGGCTTGTAGTTCAAAAAGATTCAAGCACGTACTCGTAAGGTATAATCTCTCCTTAAATAGTTTACAAGTTATTGCAGAAAGAAGCAGAAAGTAATACATTTATCGGGATTTTGAAGGAAGCATCTAATTCTTGAAATACTTTGTTTTTTTAATAACGGGACCTAAGGAGAAAATATCGATATTTTCTCTTCGATATATCGAGACCGATATTGACATTTTTATAAATATCGATATATTTCTTCACTTTCCACAACCCTATCCACAAGTGTGCGTATTTGGAGAAATTTTCCAAATTAGTGACACGACTGACGGTCCTCAACGTTCAAGAAGAAAGCCTAACCGATACGCTTTAGGTATGAAGCGGTTAAGGAAGGTTTCTCTTCTTTTCGTTGGTGGTCAGAAAACTTTTGGTTGCTTAGTCTCACCAGAACTAAATCTGCCGTCAGCTTTGCAATCCAACATTCCAACCTTACGCGATTCATTTTACGTCACGTAACAAATCGTGAGGTTAGAACAAGGTCGCAGAGTTCCCGCTGATTTTGACGCCGCGGGTGGTTGAGAGGGTGACGAGGTAAAGAGTGCCTATTCCCACCCCCGCTTGTTTGTTCGCCTAATGAAGTGGGCTGGGCGCCCTTCAGCCATTAATATACAGTCGCAATCAGCACCCAGCCGAGGGCATATTATGTAACCGCACGCAGTCAATAGCGAACGACCCGCTCGCTATGTCGATGACGAGATGAAATTGCTTTGTTTGTTTACGAGATTTGTAATTGACTCATAAATGTACATTTTTTAGTACCTATTATAGTATAACGAACGTGGTGACGTTCCACCTCGAAACCAGGATATTTCATTTCAAAATATGATGATGTTTTGAAAGAAAATAGTTTTTTAATCTATTAGATTTTTTAAGGAATTACGCGCGTACACACTTGCTTAAATATTTAACTATTATTAACCATTATAAAAATGGTATATTATCAATAATATTCCAGATGCAAAATCTTAAAAAATTGTTATAAAAGATAGTCCTTTTATAATTTATTTCTAAAAGCTTCGCGACGAACTCTGTTTTCGTAAAATAAAAGCGACAGTTTCATTGAACGAGCACCTTTCGTCGTTCATTATGATTACAAACAAAAAAATAAAACCAAAAAAGGTGTTAGTTTCTGCGAGGATAACAAATTGTTAGGAAGAAGAAATGGGATGCCGACGTTGAAGGATGTAGCGTTAAGTTGAACGAGATTCTTGTTTACGCTCGCCGTCCCCGCAAATTTAGGGGACCTGCGTAATTGCGTTTGGAACGCCCTATTTATTACGACAAACGGGGAACATTACGCTGTTTGTGAAGAATATAGGGAAGATGGATGAATTATTATTATAATGGGACTGTAGATCGACGACGTTACCCAACTTCATAGTAACGATCTATTGTGGATAGTCGTTACTCCAAAAGGTATGGGCAAATGTCCCGGCTCCAACAATTTACTTTAACAAAACTTTTTGCTGCTTTTATACTTAAAGGGGCTAATTGTTCTCCATCGTATATCCTAACACGCAAAGAAAATTGAATATATAATTACATGACGTCAGTAATCACTTGGTTAAGATCTGTTTAAAAATTTTAGAAAGATACCCCGAAAGCTCTATAAAATCCGTTTTCCGATAAAACATAATATCTAATCTATATTTAATCTTTCATGCTTTTGTGTAGCAGCATTCAAGGGAATATCGATTTTGTCTAGACGATAACTTAATTTCTAGTACAAAGCGCTACCATCGAATGAATTGAAAGGTTAGATATTGACAGGGCTTTTAATAACATGTGATACGAGAAGGAACTAATATTAAGCAAAAAAAAAACTGTTCTTTTTTTATTTTAACGGTTTTTTCAACTGTATATTTTTAGTATGATAAACAAACCATAAAATAGCTCAAATTATACAATAAGAGAGAAGAAGGAAGTGACTTACCTGGTTGTAATTGATCACTTTAGCTTATGAACTTGCGTAATATCAAATTAGTTGCGTACAGACGCGTTAATGGCTTTAAGGTTGGAAAAGACTCTCTACTTGACGGTCCCTAAGTCTTTTCCGTAAATACCACTGGCGACAACTAATTTAATGAAAGGTTCGTTGATGCCAAAAAAAATGCACTAATGTGTAAGTGCCGCAACATTATATTGGAGTAAAATTCTTTAGTACCTTTTCTTTTTTATTTCAAGTTTTAGTTATAAACCAAAACGAACTGTTTAGTGTTCTAAAGTATTTAATGAATATCTTAAGGTTAAGTTAAATTTAAATAGGTAACCCGTACCGAAAGAACCGTACCGAAATAGGTTCTGATAAAAATTAAGCTCTTATAAATAAACGCATTATCCACAAAGGCCATTAATACACTCAACGTCACCTCGATCCATTAAGATTATGGGATGCTTAAAAGGCCCATCGATAGCCTTTGTAAATGTTTGTTCTTTAATACGATTGTCTCCTAAATTATTCAAAGCGACGATGGGCACGGAAAGGCAGTAATGGCTTTCAATTCATACGGCAGCATGGACTTAAGCACGCGGGGTTTCCCCCCAATGGCCGTTATTACTCGTATATTACGTGCTACATCATTCATATCTATGAGCATTTCAAAATCTTAACAACTTTATTACAGGCAATTCTAATTATTTATTTTATTGCTTGACCAATCAATGCCTACTTTTTAACAATAATGTTTTAATTACAAAACAACTAGTTCATCCGTTTCGGACAGTACCGTGATCTGTCCCGAATGTTAATATGATAATGTGCAAATAAGTTTATACATGTATCAAAGAAATAACTGTAACATTCAGATTACTTCGCTGTTTTTCATTTGAAGAAATTATCAATAGATGGCATTATTATTATTTTAATGAAAATATTAATTCAATTCCATTTGTCTATTTTATGTCACTGGCGACAAAATAAGTCGTAAATATGTGTTAAATTATGAAATTTGATGAAGAATTACGGAAATTATGGCGTTCAGACAAAAAACATTTTTGAAAAACAACTTATATAGAGATACTTTTTGTTCCATAATCAATCTAGTATTCTACATTCTATATTTTAATACGCGAAGCATAAACTTTTTACGCCTTTTTACGAAAATTGCGCGGATTTAATGAAATTTCCCACACATATTAAGGAGTGCGGAATGCTAATATTTTTTTTAATTATGCATAAAAAATAAATTAAATCAATAAAAAAAACATTACACATGTATAATTAATTAGAGTTCTTTGTAATTTCGTCCACTAGACGATCACTTGTTCAAACAATTTTCTATTCATTTTCTATTCATTCTAGGAGTACTGAACTTCGCTTTTGTATTTTAGGTGTGCGCGCTGTCACCTAGAGAGAGAGTGTCAGAGTCCCTCGCTCTAACGTACGCTGAGGCGCCCGGCAGGCCACTTCCAGACGTGATCGCCCAGCCGGGGCTTTCTTATGATGACGTCCTCCACGATGACTTCCGATTCGACCTCGACGCTCATGACGTCATGGTGTTCCTGCACATACAGAAGACCGGCGGCACGTCCTTCGGGAAACACCTCGTGATGGACCTCGATTTGAAGGTAACGACAATTTTCCCGTATTGTCTGCTATGGTCAACAGTTAGCCATTTCTTTATTGAACTTGTGGACACAGGTTTTTGTGTATAGTTCTTATCAAGCGACTTCAATAAAGTGGGCGGTTCTTAATTCGGCCACGAATTGAATTTAAAGTGATGAATCAAGAAGTCTTATTTTGCAAGAATACGCTTTGAAAACTAATGAAATGGAAATTTTATTTGTTGTCAGCTTAAAATTAAAACAGATCCAGTTTTCTGTGACATTCTTAGTGCTAAGGCGGTTGTATGTACTTGCCGGAATAACCGCTTGTTAGTATTCGAGTATTTAAATGCATTATTTGTGAAGCTTTTAATGCTAATGAAGGTACTAAGTTTACGCTTAATACACCTGCCTGTCTACATTCGCCATACGGCGAAGCATACTCTGCATATCTCTATCATTGTTTAAGTAATATATATTAATTATACACATTAATTTGTTCTCCACGCAGTTTTGGGCATTGAATTATTTTTTTGGTTAGAAGGTTTCGTTGTTTCTGGCTGAATTTTGTTCTGTTCTGTTATGGAAAGATTTAAAAGATTGTAGATTGACGGATCGGACACGGGATTGACGGTTATAGGTTTGTAAAACTGACTGAAAAGTTGCCAAACGAGCAGACTGTTCACCTGATGGTAAGTGAATACGGCCGCCCAAGGACATCTGCTACACCCGAGGGTTACAGATGCGTTGACAACCTTTTGAAAATTGGGCTCCGGCTACCTCACTCACCAGACGAAACGCGAAAGTATTTGTCATACTTCCACTTTACGCTGGTCTTCAGTGAGGTCGTGGTACTTACACGGACGGGCTTACCCATTCGTGTAACAGAGGCTGCTGCGTGGCCCTATCACCGTCAAAGTAAATCAAAGTAAATTATTTGTACTGAGTTGACAAAATTTGTACAGCTGTTTTGTTGTTGATGCTCGAATATATTTAATAAAAGGCGAGCGCTAACTAAACTAAACTACCTAGATTTATTCTGCCCTGAGGGTTTAATCGCTGTTTTAAGTAAGAACATGCTAATAGCATATGGATAGCAAAAAATCAACACGGCCACTTAACGTCGATGACTATTTTTAACGAGGTCGCTTCTCGACAGGGCCGTTCCCGTCATTCCATTACGTAACATTCTAGAAGCTTCGATGTCAGACCCACTAGGCACTAGCCGATGGTCGATATAAACGAAATTAGTAACTGTGCCACCCGCCTCCGCAATACGGGTCGCGACCCGAAACTTGAATAGATGTATTAATCAGAGTGTCACCAAGTTGATCGAGCACCGCCTTCCCGGCGCCCACCTACATCTCATTCAGATAGTTAGCGCGTTTCCATTGAGAGCTATTTAGATCATTTGATTGATTCGTTCCAATGTCAGTGATTGAATCGAGTATCAATGCGGAGCTTTGGCTAGATCCCTTCGTTATACGTCCTTGTTCATATTAAAATGCTCATTATATGGTTATTGAAATGGTTTACCTCTAAAAACTTGAAGTGATTTTTAAAATCTTTTTATGGTAGAACCGTCGAATAATCAATTAAACCAGGGTTGGGCGTATGCAACCGCGTAAACTCATAAATGATAGACATGTTACATACTTCTATTCAAGTCGTTCGGCGTAATCGTGGCTTACTGCCTTTAAAATTTTGTTAAATAATCATCTTAACAAAAGTTTTTAATTCTCATTATTATTACGTTTTCTGGTCCCAATTTAAGCAACGCATGGTACTAGATAACTGATATAATTTATTCGTAAATAAATACATATTATATATAAACGCAGACACTGGAAAAAAGACTATCTTTATCCACAGTGTTTTCCAGTGGTGGGGTTCGAACTCACACTCTGACGCAAGAAGACAGGTTAAATATCCACTTACCCCAGTCGGATCAATATGCATGAATTACAAATTTAAGCCATTAGCAGCACAACCGAAGTAATTATTCTGTCATAAGTAAAATATCTTTTATTCCGCATTCAAATTACTTGCGTTGTCTGTTATAATGGTTACGAATGTCTTGGAGCCAATATGTATGTGCAATACATGTATGATTTGATTTCAGTTCGTAGTCTCTCATTGTTCGTCTACTTAAATACTTGACTAGAACATAGGTTCAGATGTCGTAATAACCAAATTTCCACCTCTCCTGTATATATCGCACACCCGGTGTGTACAAAGTCAGTTGTATTTTGTAGTAGTAGTAGTTCTATTTTGTTTTTTATTTTACATAACTCTAATGCAACCTGGATAATCACGAATTCCTTCAAAGTGCATTTTGTGTAGAGTGATTTGAAGCCACAGAGACGATTTGATTGTACATTGATATGTATTGTACATTTTGGTTTATGTTTTAAATTAACGGTGGTAAGGCCGGGCCACGCAGCAGCCTCGGCTGTTGCACCAATGGCCTGCCCGTCCGGGTAAGTACCACGACCTCACAGAAGACCAGCGTAAAGTGGAAGTATGACAAATGCTTTCGCGTTTCGTCTGGTGAGTGAGGTAGCCGGAGCCCAATTTTCAAAAGGTTGTCAACGCATCTGTAACCCGCGGGTGTAGCAGATGTCCATGGGCGGCGGTATTCACTTAACATCAGGTGAACCGTCTGCTCGTTTGATAACTTTACGCATAAAATAAAAAAAATACATTATGACATTGATGAATATTCCCATAGTCCCATATTAATTAAGTTGGTATTGGAACTTGGATTCCGGAGATACATCACGGAACTCCTTAAAAATGATATAGAAAATGTTTAGTGATGTTAGTTTGTTGAAGTAGGATTTGATTTACTTTATTCATCGAAATTTTCAGAAGAATGTTGACAACATTTGTAGATATCACATTTTTTACTTTGTATTAATACATATATATGTTTAGATATAAACTGCAATTAATAACTTCATCAACGTAAACACCGTCAAAACTATAAATTTATCTGAACATAAACATAAATGAACTTTAACCAGAACCAGATCTCAATACTTATCAAAACAAATCACTTGCAATCGTCCACCCTCCTGACAGAAATTATTAACGACTTGCTTTTATTAAGAGAAATCATTGATTACCTTCGTTTTTTTAGATTTGTATTTATCAAATTTTTCGCATTTTTTAAAATTTATTTATATATTAAATTATAAATGTTGTTTAGGTTTTTAAATGTTACGAAATAAAAATTGGGTAAGGCAATATTCTTAGACTTTTTAATGTCTTCTTTAAATGACTGCTTCTATTATTAAATGACTATAAATTAAAATTAAAATAAAATATTTTAAGTTTCAAGTTAGAATTGCAAGTTAATTAAAAGTCTAATAACCAGAGTAGATGCAACCAACTTAATCGTTTAACTAATTGCCAATCGATACAATTTTTTCAGTTTATAACTTTTTAACTTTTTTTATAATAGTTTTGTTATATAATGCTTTCGTAGAATTAGTAACTATCTCAATAACGCCTTTTTAACGCCTAGTTATAGCTTCACAACAACTTATGAATAAGAGAAAAAAAAAACAAGAGTCTTTCTTAACGAGAGTATCTTGAGACTTGATCAGATACGACGTACCGCAGCAGGGTCAACTTGAGGGTCTCGCTGACGAGGACCACGTATGCATAAACATAGACATACACGTCTACGACACGGGAGCTAAAGAAGACTGTATTCATCTTTACGAACCCCACTGGGATCACATTTATGAATAGTTCATGTGCTGGCAAAATATGAAATATGATAAAAATAATTGTTAAGAGAATTTCGTTTTTATGAAAGTATGCACATCTTGATTCGTAAATGCAATAAGTAAATTTAAGTAAGCTTTTAAAATCCTCTTTTCCGATGGCGCTGCCGCTTAGGCGTCGAGGGCCGTGGGTTCGATTCCCATACGGGACAGGTATTTGTGTGACCCACAGAAATCAGATCTGGGTGTTTGCTTTCTAACAGAGGGCTGTCGTCAGGCAGGTGACCAAAACCGCTTTCAAAATGATTCACATGTTGTGAGGAGGGCGATGAATCTGATTTTCATGGAAACATTTTCAAGTTACGTATTCTACATGTAGCTAGGGGTAAAAGGCAGTTGCAATTGTCTCATATTACACATTGTTACAATTTTTTTTTATAAAAATATTTTGGTGTTTTTATAAAACGGTATCTAAGATCTAAGAAGCTATCCTAACTATATAGGTCTATAGTCCTATTAGTTGTATAAAAATCAACATTTAGATTTTCGCGAAAACTTGCAAGTACCAACATTTATCTTAATTTTCAACTTTTTTTATATTTCGAATTTTATTTTTCTCTATAATTTAAAAAATACCGTATAAATACTAAGTTACTGATCTGATGAGGGAAGTTTGTCAGGACCTACCCGATAGAAATAGATCTTCAGTTCAATTGTGCGCGATTTCTGAAAAGTTTGGATTGCTCACTTGAACGTAAAAACGGAAATGACTATCTTATTTCGTAATTTATTATTTTTATTCTCTGTACTGCAGCATATAATTTTACATTGATATTTTTATGAGTATATCCACAGAACGCAAGCACGCGTTTTTTCGCTTGATCAATAACAACCAAATCCATCAGAGCCAACAGATCTACCTCTGCCAATACCTCTCAGAACTATAACATCCGTACATTTTTTGTTTTATAAAAAGGAATTTTATACTTTCGTCGTTTAAATGTTGCGATATTGGTTGGCCCTGCTGAATAATGCATTCGAATGAACTTTGTAATTGAATAAGAAAAAGAACATTGCTATGGAGCGATTGTAAGGTCAGAGGGCGGAGATAAATAGAATGACAATGGGGCTTTTATGTTAGCTCGTTGCCGCGGAACGCGCTCGGCGAAAGTACTGAATGATTTACAACAAGTCGCCGTTTTCTTGTCAATAAAACTAAAACGTAACTGTAAGAAACATTGCGAGGGTAGAATTACTAAATCCTTTCTATTTTCATCAAATTACTGTTGT